TGCTGACAACACCAAGTCAAGGGTTAGGATCCCCTTACCGGTCATCTTTAAAAAAAAAAAACAAGCCTGAGGGCTGGCCAGTTAGCTCAGTTGGTTAGAAAACAGTGCTGATAACACCAAGGTCAAGGGTTTGGATCCCCATACAGGCTAGCCACCAAAACAAATACAAGCCTGGTGTTGATTTTTTTTGGGGGGGTGGGCAGCTGGCCAGTAAGGGGATCCAAAACCCATCTCAACCTTGGTGTTATAACACCGCACTATAATCAACTGAGCTAACCAGCCAAACCTGGTGCTGATTTTATTGGTATAAATTATATTTTTTGTATATATTAATATGTATGTATATATATTATAATTTATACCAACTTAGAAATGCTGAGCTAAGTGCATGAAATGTATTATCTCAAATGAACAGGCCTGAGGAGAGAAGCTTGTATCATCAGCTCTGACCCACCAACACTACCTCTTGTTCACCCCTTTCTTTCACTCATTCTTCACACATTAATTTATTTGGTGAAAAAACTCACACTCTAATGTCTCACTGAAATAGCTACTGTAATTCTAACCAGAGAAAGAGCTAAATCTAACTTCTCAGGAGTGCTTGAGCACTTGCATAAGTGAAATTTCACAGTGTGAATTCCACACCAACAGCACCTCTGCTCCAGCTCCTACCACTCCGCTGCTCACTCTGGAATCCCACATGTGGAATAGAAGATAGAGGAAGCGCCGTGCAGTGGACATTACCACTCTCCTCAGAGATGGTTTTATTTACAGTAAACTCAGTTAGCAATTTATAGTTTTCTGTGTTCTGATACTGCATACCCTTAGCAGTGATTTGGGTCACTGTCTGGGAGGGGAAATCCTCTAAACCTGGCAAGGGTTAAATCCCAGAATACCCTGCTCTTAACTGCCAAAGGTGTTTAAGCCAGCCAATGTGAGCCCCATTGCTCACAGAAAGGAAAACAAAGCAGACATTCCCCTGAGAGGCAAAAACAACCCAAGGTACAGAGGAGAAACTCACTAGTGAAGTCGACCCTTACCATGGGCAGCTGACATCTGAGACTTCCTTAGACAACCAGGGCATCTCAGTCACATTCTAGGATTGTGCTGTCCAATACAGCAGCCACTAGAGCCACTAACCACATGACTATTTATTTACATGTAATCTTAAATTGAAATTTGCAACCCCCAGTTAATGTTCAAAACTTGTTTTGCAAT